GTCGCTGTGCTGGGATGCGCGTGCGCTTCGCTGGCTAGCCCAGGCGGGCGTCGCGGGGACGGGCTTCTCCCTTCTCCCTTCTCCCTGCCTCCTGCTCCCTGTGGTCTGGTGCCCGGCAGCCAGTTTGACGTGCCCGCGGGCGCAGCGCCTGCCTCGCCGCCAGAAGTGGGGCTGCGAGCCGATTCGCGCTGTTCGTGCTCGGTGCGGTGCGCCTGGCGGCCGGACGCGGTATCAGCGCCGTCGCGTTCCCCCACTCGTCCCAGGCGTTACGTTGCTCCGTTGATGTGCGTAGGCGTCGTCGCGGTGCTGGTAATCGAGTCACCACGATCGCGCACCGCGGTCGAGCATCTCGCTGTGCCGGCTTCACACATATTTATATATATATTATCATCATATATTTGCAATTTTGCATCTCTGCATGTTACACACGTCCGTCTGTCCATTCATGATCCATCACGCATGAACTCGATGCATTGAGTTGGTCGTCGCAGGGCGGCGGCCGCGGCAACTGCTCCTTGGCAGATACCTGCCTGCATCCCGATCGCGCACCATCGCCACCGAAGCGTCTCTCTCGCACTCTGGACGTCTAGACGCATACTATATAGATTGCCTGTGCGATGCGGAGCATACCATACCATACATGATGTGATGTGAAACGATGCGATGTGATACGGAACGAGAAGCGATGACGGACGACGGCGATTACGAGGCTCGAGCGACAGAAAGAGACAGAGAGACAGAGAGAAGAATATATGCAGAATGGTAGATACACACGGTCGATGCTACATACCGAGAGCGCGTCGAGAACGAGGACTGAGAGAGATTCGTGGGCGTGACGATCAGGGAGAAAGTGTTCATGGTGCTTCATAAGCGTTCGTCGTGGGCGGGCAACGGGGGAAACACGAGCGCAGGAGCCAGCTGCAGCTTCGATGCAGCAGGCGGGACAGAGTTCACGGCAGGGGCGGATGGCGGTGTAAAGACGGGCACGGGGAAAGGATTCTTATGCGGCATCTGGAAATCAGGGTATCGGCGCCGTCCGTCCGTTGCTCGTCGTCGATGATGGAGATGGCGTGCCTTTCGCGCCGGGGGGCGAGCCCCCAGCGGGCCCTGGCGCCGCCTGATGCAGCACAATCTCGCGCTTCGGCCGCAGCGGCGACACCGACCGCGCATGGCGCTCCTCCTCTGTCGACTGGTGCGATGAATGCGGGGGCGACGAGCGCGCCATCGGGGGGAGGGACATGCCTGCATGGCCGGACGCGCCGATCGGGCGTGGATGTGGCGGCAACATCGTCGGGAGCGACGGGCTGGGCGGGTACGAGCGCGCCTCTGCGGGCTGCCTGGTCTCTGGCGAGTGCGACGGGTGCGCGTGCGACTGCGTGCGGAACGGCGCGGGGGATATGGCCGAGGGCGTGGGCGTCGGTCGTCCTCCAGACGGCGGGGACACGCGATGGCTGTTCATGCTCCCGACGCGCGACCGCTTGTAGTCGGCGCCGTCCCGCTCCTCTGCGCCGCCCGGCCCTGGGCTCAGCGCGCGCTTCGTGCCTAGCGGCGGGGTCGTGCGTGACGACAGGGACGACCGTCGGTGCGCGACGTGCGGCGACTGCTGCGGGGGTCCTCTGCCCCCGACGGGCGCACCGGGAGGCGGGGGGTACCCGCGCGGGTCTCCAGGGCGGTACGCCGCGAACTCCATCAGCATCTCCGCAACGCCCTCATCATAGTCCTCATCTACGACTCTCGCTGGTGGATGGTGCGCCGAGCCCGTAGGTGACGGCTGCACCGAGCGGCCCACCGAGCCCGTGCCAGACGCGTTCGAGCTTGGGCCCGGGCTGTCCTTCGCCTGCCTGTACCCCGGCGGCGGCGCACCGCCATAGCCTGGTGTCTCCTGCCTCGCGGGCTCCTCCTTCACGCGCTTCCGCCTTGTCCTGCGCTCCTTCTTCGGTGGCTCCGCGGCAGGGACAGATCCCGAGCTGACCGACTCCGAATCCTTGTCCTTCGCGCCGCGCCGCCTACGGTCCTTCGCATCGCTCGCCTGAGCCGACACCAGCCCCGGGCTCTCTGACGTGCGTGCGTACGGCGTTGGCTGTGGCGGTAATGGTGGCTGCGCCGACGGCGGGGGCACGTCGCGCGCGCGCACGACCTCGGGCGACCCATAGCGACCGTCCGAGCGCGCGTCCATCATCTGGGGACGCTCGTACTCGCGCGACGGCGCGTCGTACCGCGGGTCATATCGCCGCCCCGGCTGTTCGTGCATGATGGGCGACCGCGGGGCGATGACAGCTGGACCCGACGGGAGCCCAGTGCGCGCGTCCCAGTACTGGCGTGCATACGCATGGTGCGCCGCAGGAGACATCTCGACGCTGCGCTCGCGCGGGCCACGGGGAGACGGCGCGCGCTGGGGCAGCGGCGGAGAGACGTACATTGGCTGCTGGTGCGACGCATACTCGACCCCAGGCCGCCCTCGCCGATCCCAATCCGCATGCTCAACGACCTGGACGGGCACTAGACGACGGTCCCAATTCGGCTCCCGCTCCTGCTCGCGATACGAGGGCGGCGAGCGGCCACGAGACGACATTGGTGGCTGACCGGGGCCCACGGGCGGGCGCCCCTCGGCATACGCAGGGCGACCATTGGCGACGGACGCAGGACGCAGCGCATGCGGTTGTGGCGAAGGCGAGCGAGACTGGTGCATGCGGTAGCGCGCAGAGGGAGGCTCGTGTTGATGCCCTTGTCCATGCGCTGCACCCCGGATAGACTCAGTGGGCAGCTGTTGTTGAGGGACAGGGTGGTGCAGGAGGAGCGACTGGCCGGCGGGACCACGGGGGCCATTCTCGCGAGCAGAGGGGGGATAGGGAGCAGACGCCTCTCGGGCGTGAACGGGCGGGCGGTCGACGTCCATCGGGGCAAGCGGGGTGTGCGAGGGCATGTGACGGTTGTCGTCGAGCACGACCGGCGGTGGTGGGCCACCTCTGAATGGGCCTGGCGATGAGCGTCCATTGCTGATCTGCTGGGGGGGCATCGGCAGCGCAAGCTCTCCAGGGGGGCCTCTCGAGTCCGTGCGGAAGATCGGAGGGGGACGCGAGCCTGCCCCGGGCTGCATTAGGAGCGGAGGGCCACCCAGACCATGTGGCTGCATAAGCGAGTTGGCATACGCCGTCGGGTGGACATCCTGCGGTCCAGGCGCGGCTGGGAGAGCGCTACCCGTGGCTTGCGCGGTGCGAAGAAGCTGCAAGCGTTGAGTAATCGCGGTGTTGCTCGGGTCGAGCTCGGCCGCGCGCGCATATGCGTCGATCGCGTCGGAAATTTGGTTGTTGCAGCTTTCATACAGACTACCGAGATCGAACCACACCTCTGATATGTATGGGTTTATGCGGATTGCGCGGGAATACGCATCGAGCGCGTCTCGGTATTGGTTGATCTGGAAATAGAGGACGCCGATCGAACACCAGAACGTCGGGTTCCGGCCGTCGCGATAGACGGCCTGCTGGTACGCTTCGTACGCCTTGTTGTATTTTTGGCCGGCCATGTAGGCCCGACCAAGGAGATACCAGCTCTGCGCATCCGTGGGATCTAACGGCATGATGAGAACAACAAGCGATGAAACAAGGGACATCGTTGACGTACCCGCTTCGAGACTCTTTGTTAGGTACTGAATGGCAACTTCTTGGTTCTGGAAGCTGGAGCCATCTTGATGGTACAGCCAACCGAGCTGCTGAAGGACCTTTGCGTGATTGGGGTTGTCTACGACAACACGTTCGTAGGCTTCCCGCGCATGCATGTGCTGGAAAGATCAGGAGGTTAAAATATCGCTTGGGGGAGGCGTGGCGTCGAAGAAGACTTACGTCGCGCTGCTGTTCAAAGACATGGCCGATTTGAAACCAGATGTCGGCGTGTGCGAGAGGGTTGGGGGGATTGCGCAGGATGCGGTCGAAGCACTCCAGACTCTCGGAATACTTGCCTTGCTGCTTGTAGATGATGCCGAGACGGAAGAGGATCTCGTTCGCTTTGTCAAAGTCTAGAGCGGCTGACGATGATGAGCATGAGATAATCGCGGGGAGTGGTGGGCCACAGACCTTTGTCCATTTTGAGGACGGAAGCGAAGGCTTCCTCGGCGTGGTCCAGAGAGCCATATCTGTCGTAGAGGATTCCGATGCCGTACCAGAGCTTCGGGTCTTCCTGGAGCCGGAGTTAGTAGAGCCGAATGTATGGAGACGGGAGCGGTTACCTTTGGGTTTGGGAGGAGATAGAGCGCCTGCTGGTACGCGGCATAGGCCTTTTGGAGATCATCCTGCATGAGGTAGCAGTGGCCTGGGAGAGTGGTGAGGCACGCGGAGAGAAGAAGGGGGACGGCAACACGCACCGAGGGCGCTCCACACCTCGCCGTTCTCCTGCTGCATGCTGATAACGCGCTGGAAATAGTCGACAGCCTAGCGAGAGCCATATGAGAACGAGTCGTGCGATCGACAGGACGGAGAGATGACCTAAGCGAGCGACATATGGGGACGACGCATCGCCAAGTCAATCTGGGCCCCCGGGAGAGGGTTCACGCGGGTGGGCCCAGAAGAGGGGAAGGAGCCGGGGGCTGTCTCACCTTTGGGTAGTTCTCTTTGATCCGAGCGATGCCCGCGACCTGGGTGAGGCCGGCAAGCGAAAGCGGGTTGTGACGCAGCGCATTCTCGTAGGCAGACAGCGCCTGTTCTAGATTTCCCATCTGCTCTGCGACGCGGCCTGGCCGGGTAATCCGAGCGTGAGGGGGGTTGTGCTGATTGAGACCGAGCGTGAGATGCGCGCACCTATGAGAAGCCACGTCTGTTCGTTTGCCTGTGCAAGTTTCTGGATGGAGGGGAGGGTGTTTGTGTCGTTGGGGACGGCGATGGGGGCGATGGTGGGGGAGACGATGGACATCTGGGTGGCGGACGGGCGCGGGGGGGCGGGGATGCCGTTTCCGTTCATGTGCGGGGGGTGAACAAGGGCGTGGGGGGCAGGAGG